ACATCAACTGAGATCTTATGCAATCTTAATGGATTGGATCCAGACCTCTCTCTTCCAAAGACACATCAGTGTAAATAGATAATATTGACAAAGATGGAAAGGCAAGAGCAGGAAAAATGTGTCTCCCACCTTCCCAAAGGACAAAGCTCTGAGGAGAGGTGAGATTCATTTAGCTCACCTTGGTCAACACTTACATGACTTCAACTGCCTGGATCATCCAGCTTTATCTTTTAAAATGCTTCTGCCTCTTTCTTTCATGCCTGCAGAATACGTTACCAGTGGGAAAAACAAGTACTTACCTTTAAAATGTGCCTATAAATAAGGTATGACACATCCTCATTATAAAAAGTTCTGTGAATACATACTGATAGAGCTTTTACAAAGATTGATCCGAAAAATCGTGTTTCCTTGCTATCTGAGCACGCTTTACCTGTATGCCTGAAAGCCTTTCCAGTCAATCTTATCCTACAACAGGCCACAGGTTTCCATGAGTTTTCTGCATGATTCACACTGCTTTGTTTATGAAGGACTGACTTATCAGGGAAGCATGCCTCTTGAGTATTAGAAGCACATTAGCAGTTTTATCTGTGGGAGTAGCAATGGCTATAAAGAGCATACTAACATAACAGAATCGACAATGATCAATTTATTACTCAAATTTTCAACAACTGTTTAATTGACCCATTCTAAGCATACTCTAATTAGTTTCAATAAGTTATATGAACAATTTCCAGCTACTTGGGATCTGTCAGAAATGCCATTCTTCAAATATTTCAGAAAGAACAGGAAATATTGCTATAATATAAAAAAAAGAAAGTCGCTATCATAAAGATAGCTGTTGATGCTGACAGAAAATGATCATTTCAAGCATATCTGTAAATGATTAAATTGTCTTCAGTAAAATTTCTTTTGTACTCACAGTTAATTTGAAGCAAAAATGAATGCTTCATGTTCAAAATTGATAAGAAGCATGTAAACAGGAGGGAGAAAGATTGCTTACGAGGGTCAACAGTGATAGGACAAGAGGGAATAGTCTTAAACTGAGATAGGGGATGTTTAGGTTAGATATTAGGAGGAAGTTTTTCACACAGAAGGTGGTTAGACACTAGAACTGGTTGCCCAAGGAGGTTATGGATGCTCTATTCCTGGAGGCATTTAAGGACAGGCTGGATGCAGCTCTGGGCAGCCTGGTCTGGTGGTTGGCCACCCTGCAAATAGCAGGAGGGTTGAAACTAGATGATCATTGTGGTCCTTTTCAACCCAGGCCATTCTACGATTCTTTCATAAGATAGGGGGCAAAACATTACAGACACTAAAATACCATGAATGACCAGTTCACATTCTTGCATCTTATGTACAGACCCTCCTCTCCCAACTCCACGCTCACAACATATACCTGTCACACCTAAAAACTCAGTCCTTCTGTTTTCATGACAGTCTCACAAGTCCTACATCAAGATCAGAGATTCCTGACTTCAAGGCATACAGAAATCTCTTCCAGGTGAATTTGCACGGTGGGTGGCAGCAGATATTCTTAATAATGTCTGTGTGGGTGAATCCCTCATGGCTCCCAGAGTGTGATGAGATGGCGATGCAATTAGCACTCAACACAACTATGCCTGTAACACCAGTGTAAATGGATCTCTGTAGGATGAGGAAGGGAGCACTGGGCTTGGATAGAAAAAGGGCTAGTCATAGGCTGGTCACCCCAGAGGTTAAAGGAGAAGAGCAATTAAGAAAGAAGAGGAATAGGACTGGAGTCCCCATTTTGTCAGATAGGAAATGAGGGGGAAGAAACAGGAGTGAGGGAGCTAGTTGTAGCTTAAAATGTATGTGTAGAAGCAAGGTGTATAATCAGTGAATACTAAGATGTTACAACTACAATATACACAAGAGAGTTAGGTAAAGCAGATTATAACAACAGAAAGAGACTAGATAAAAAAAAGCTTACCCATACCCTAGGCTCGCTTATGAAACTCCAGCAGACTAGATCTCCAGAAGAGATCCTTCCCTACTCGTAGTCAGCTCTTAAGTGGGTCTAGGAGAGGTGGAGCCTGGCTCCACCCCTTCCAGCAGCACAGGTGAATTGCCTTCAGCTGTGCTCCCATGGCTGACTCATTGCTTGCCTCAGGTGATCAATCAGAGGTTCAGGCCGTGATTCAGCAGTTCCCAAGCACAAGGAAACTAAGGTTGGAAAGGGAAGGTGGGTGGATTGGAGTGCTGGTTTAGAAAGTAAGGAGGGGGCTGCATCCTGTCCTGAAAGCTAGCAACTGCTGACGTGCCTGAAGTGTTAGAACCCTGGAAACCCCATCTGCAACAAGTTCAGAGTAGAAAACGAATTTCAGAAAAAGTGTATTACAGCTGACAGCTCCCTATCCACTCTTCCTCCTACTATTCTCCTCCCCAATTTTTTTTTTTTTAAATCAAAAATCAAGAAAAGGGCTCAGCTTTGGAAATGTGGTTCTGCTCTCAAACTATTTAGCGTCACATCTAACACCCTAAAGTGCACCCATGGGACAGAGGGAGCCAGAGCAGCTGAAAGAAGAGAGTATCCCACCCATCCTTCACCTTGGGTATGTTACTTGATGCTTTTACCTCAAAACTGGACTGCCAAGAGAGTACTGTGAGGTAGCTTTAAGGTCTGTAAATGCAAAGCTATCATTTGCAGTAGAAAGGAAAATTAAAACAACAAAATTGTATACAGGCAATGATACCAAGGAATAGCACTTGTCAAAAATATACATATTTTTTCCGTTGACATCCAATGGGCAGGAAAAAAAAATCCAGTAACATACTACAGATTCTTATCAATCAAACTACATCCTACAGATTTGATTCAACAGTAGCCTACTAGAGTTTTTCCCTCGTAACAAGAAGCACTTTTTTTTCCCCTAACACATACATACCAAGGCGAAGGTACATGTCCCATCAGAAACTTGTTAAAGATAGAAAGACAAAACCAAATCTGGGTAAAGTGCAACCTTCATTTGGCAAGTGCACACCAGACTAGACTTTTTTTTTCTCTAAATGTGAGATAACCCAGCATTGAAGAGAGATTTGAACTAGATAATCTTCAGAGATTCCTTCCCACTGCAGCAACTGATTCTGTGTAAATGCATTGGATCTAATTTAGCAAAGTGTGTGATACAGTCTGTCCAGAAAATCAGTGATTTGACTGGGGAAGAGGAGAATTGCTACATTGATGAGGAGAATTACTGCATTAATGAGGAGCATGCATGCGCCTACAGCCAACACAGGGCAGACAAGTTGAGTCAGAGAAGAGTTAATAATTTGGTCACTGGTCTTTGATTAATATTTCCTCAATGTTTTTATCAGTGATTTTGATATCAAAAAATAATAATGAAATTTACTGCTGACAAAGCTAGGAGATCTCATTAATGAAGAGGAAGACCAGAACATCATCATAGAGAAACTGAGTGCCCTTGAATTCCAGAGAAAGAAATTGGGTAAACAACTTGACAAATACAAATTAGTTAATAAAATGATGATAGCCTTCCACCAAATTGGAGAAACAATATTTGGAAACTACCAATAGTACAGAAGTCTTGGATGTCTCAGTTAATCACATAAAACCTATGTGTTAGAAAAGAACTCTGAATAAATTTAATCTGGAAAACAAGTTTGTCTAACCAGCAGAACAGTGAGGTCCTGGAAAATTCAAATAACTCTGGAGAAACTAAGGAGAAGAAATTCAGATAAGTTTAAGACAAAGCCTGAGCAATCTGTGAAAAAGTCTATGATATGGTGGTCTGGAAGAGAAAAGGAAGAGAACTTTGCAGCCTAATCTGAAAATACTGATATTGATCTCTTCACTTGCTTCTTGTTCTTTCACATTTTCTATCACCTGCAAGGATATAATTTGATTTATCTCAAACTTACACGGACTGTGTGGCTGTGACACCTGCTGAAGAAAATCAAAATTCATTTCTTCATTTGCACACCTACATTCTTAAAAAACAGACGTGCTGAGTTTGGAATAGTCAAGAGGGCTAAGGCAATACAACCCTTGTGTTTTGGATTGACTTAGTGCCTCTCCAAAATCAGCTAATGTGCATCTCATTTTCGGTACCCAAAGGGAAAATATGCATAGGAAATCATGGTTGATAGCCATCCTTAAATTAAAGAGTAACTATTATCAGTGCATAGTGCTGAAGAACAAGCGAGCTTGTATGACTCAAATTTAAGATCACCAGTGAGTTTAGAGGCTCAAGAGAGAAGGGTTTGGTTTTTTCGTGGCTTTTTTTTTTCTCTTTTCTGTTCTAACAGGTTAAAAAAAACAGCATGAAGAACATCCTGTGGGCACATGACCTAACAGCTGTGTCATGACATGTATTTTAGAAAGAAAAAAAAAAAAGATTAACTGCCATGGTGAGCTAAGTGATTCATTAGACAACGTTGCAGACAAAGGAACAAGTTCCTTGCTGTGTTTGTAATGACTTGAGAACAAAACAGTCTAGCTAAGATACCAGAAGTGTTTGACCCCAAAACACGAGGTCACTGGGTTGTGCTCACATTACTGGTCTGGTTCAGAGCAGCAGCACAGTGTTGTCCTGTTTCATTTTACCACCCAGCAGTATGGTTTGGAGAGTAGCCTTAGCACATTCAAACCAGACTCTATGCAAAGTTCCTCTCTCTACACAGCTCACCCCAGTCCATAGTGGAGAGAGAAAAGGACTGAACTGGTGAGTGGTCCTTCAAGACAATGTATGAGATGTCAGGGAAACAGATTCAGTCTAATCCAAAATAAAGTACCAAAACCATCAATAATGTTGATACATCAGGTGGTGATTCATCTGCTTCAGCCCACTGATCTGCTGATGTCACATGGAGTTGTGCATCTACATAATCAAGTACACAGAGACAGAAACATTGTATCTCCAAATGAAGATTGTGCGTTAATAGCTACAGCAGGTCTGTGATTACCATTGGTTAGCAATTTTTTGTTTTGTTTTTCAAGGATGAATAGAACTCAGCTGTACCTCAACGAAGTGGTGATTAACGTCTCCTTTTTGTAGCAGATGTATATGTCACCAAGATTCCATATATGTGCTCTCCAGTTGGTACAAGTTACCCTTGAAGAGACAAACACTGACTGAGAACACAACAAGACTTCATCCAGCAATTGAAATGGTTGTTCTGGAGAATGTTTTTTGCATTTTATGATCCTATTGCATGATAAATGTTATTCAGAAAACATAATACCTTGTGTCACAGATCAGCAGAGAAGGAAGATTACTCCACTCCGACTGCTCAATGATCCATACAGCTGTAGGAATGAGAAGATCCTGTAATAAGACTTACAGGCACCAGGGATTAGGTGTACAGTCCCCCACTTCAGTTCCCACAGGCAGATATTCAGAAACATAAGTTGCACTTTGACCTTTAATATTGTCCTTAGTGTCCTTGAGTTACAAAACCCTAATGCACACTTCAATTTCATCTGTCTAGCATTATTATAATTTATGGCTAAACATCTCTGGGTTTTCTCCCTCAATAACCAGTCTAGAATTACTCTCACAACATTGCTAAGTTTGGTCAGTTCCAATTCTTGTTTCGTTTTGTCCATTACATCATTGGATCACGTTAACTTCGAACCACATAACTGCTTATGCACAAGGAAGATAAGTGTCTTCACAAGTTATGTGACATGGAATCCAATTGGGATCATCGAATATGACTGCACCAAGATATCTAAGACCCCTCCTTCACATACTGCTACCCTGAGTTTCTACTCACCATGTGTTCTATAACCAAACTCACTGAAAATGAGTTTATTTTCAAACTGAGCAGAACCAGTATTCATTCTGCCTTCATCTAGCCCAGCTCAGAATATGACATCTACTCTTTCCTTCTAGTGTTTTCCTCAGGCCACCTTAGTCCAGACTGTCTTGTGTGTGAGTCTGGAGCATAGTTCTATACAAGTTCTGCACTGACAAGGAAAATGAACCGCATTAATTACATGGACTTGAAATATGGGTCTGTGCAACACTAGATAGACTTCACTAAAAGTCATTGCAGATGCAAGAGATGCTCAAGGTTTAGAGACTACCAAGTCACTTTCTTCACAGCACTTTTTTCTGCAGCATTCTGCAGCCTAGGAGGCATTATGTATAGAGGCTTCAGGTGAGAATAACATTAGGTATTGTACAGGGCCTACTTCCATGTCTGCCTTCACATAGCTACTGTATGCACAGCTGCACCAACGCTTGACTCATTTACAATTGCTATGGAGAGAATGAAGCCTGTAGAATTACTACATCCTCCAGCTGCAGCAAGATCTCACAGAACTGAATATCCTTTTGTGAACTTAAGAGGGAAATACAGTAACTATAGAAATCCGTGCCTAGTGACTTGTAGAAAACATGAAGTATCTGTTAGAGTTCAGCTATCAACCTTCATTGTCTTAGGCTGATAAGTATAACCCCCTTCATAATGAACCTCCTTAACTGAAGAGAGGAAATTGCATCCCTCTCCTTTCAAGCCGTTCAATTTTAAAACTCACATACTTTTTTTTAAATTGTGTTTGCAATCCAAAAATGGACTTAAATAGCATTAAGCCACAAATCACATTTTTTGAGCAACATTGTTTTGCACAAATTTATATAAATTGGTCTGCCCCCCAACAGTGGAATTTTTGCCTTTGGTAATTGTTCTGCATTTAAGTCAGCTACTAATCAAAACAACACAGTAGTGAGGAATTCTCTGACACTGTGAAGAAGAGCTCAAACACCCACTTCTTCCACGTACTTCTGCTTGGCAACACTTCTTGCAGAAAGAAGCAGTAGTATATTAAGGTTTGTGGAGCCAATAGGAAATGACCAAAAGCTTTTCATTCAGGCTTCAGCCCAAGGTAAACAATTAATTTTTAGTCCTTTAGCATTTTTAGTCCTTTTTTTTCATCACTTTATTCTCTTTTTCTGCCAAATTATGGATCTGTGGATCCTAAAATGGTATAGAAACTTTTAACTGCCCCAAGCAACTCTCTCATCATGAGACTTTCATCCCAGAGTTGTAGGATTGGTGGCTGAAGTTGATTTTGGTCAAGCACTTTTTAAAGATATTTCTATTAAAATATTTACAGCAAGAATTTCTTGAAACTACAACTTGGTGAACAACATTATGTGCTCATGTCATTGGATAGCTGTGTTTTAGCCATTTATGTGCATGTAGTCAAACATACACACTTACTATTTTGATTTGTTTTCCAAACTTGCAAGGCAACATCCACATTTGAGAAAGTTTAGTCTTGCACTAAACTTGCAGTCCCACTTTTCTCTATGCCTTCCAAGCCTGCTGCATGGGCGGTAACAGGAAGAGAGAAGCACACTGAAAGAACAAAGTAGAAAATCATGTAATATAAAGTGTATTGCTCTAACTAGAGATTCCCTTGGGCAAATGATTCAGGGCTCCAGAAGCTGGAATGGGAAACTGTACTAAAGCACATTTTATTAATGAATACCCAATTCCCCCTCCTCCCGTTGGTAAAGACTGAACGCAGACAGATGAAAATAAAGACAAAGGCAATGTTGCCTTTCACCTACCCTAGGAGCAGAGGTGGCTTGTCCAGCAGGAACACAGTGCCATCTAGTGAGCCTTCCCAGAAGGAGAAAAAAAACACAGCAGGAAATCATACCTCGAGATAAGAAAACCCTATATATTATATCTTGGGATAGTGGGGAAAGTCTGGCAGGCAGCCTGTTCCCATTGCGGGCTATGGGTCTTAGCAGGCAGTAACCACCAGGAGTTTTGGGATGAAAGCCATCACCCCTCTACTACCCACTGCAGGGGGGGGTATCAAGGAACGACATCAGGCCTCAGTGCCTGGCCCGGGCAAGATGGAGGGGAGCAAAACTTACCATCAGCTTGCCAGCTTCTGGCAAGACAGCAGGTAAGGATACTTATATGGCCTTGGGGACCCTTAAAAAAAAAGGGAGGGGAGGGGAGAGGGGAGGGGGAAGAAAAGGGAAAAGGAAAGGGAAAGGGAAAGGGAAAGGGAAAGGGAAAGGGAAAGGGAAAGGGAAAGGGAAAGGGAAAGGGAAAGGGAAAGGGAAAGAAAATAAGGCAGTGCAGCTTCACAAATACAGCTGAGGTTCACTTTTCCAGCACTTTGCTTCCCAGGGTTTAATTAGCTGCTGCAGCACTAAATAACAGCTCCCAAGAGGCTGCAGTACATCAGAGCTGCTGCATGAGTGAATGTGGAGGAAAGCTGCAGCTCAGCACCAGAACCGGTACTGCCATCCCAAAACAATCAGTGGGACCCTTGTCCCTCACCACTTCCCCCCTGCTGCCTCTGGGCTGCCAGCTGGGGTGGAAGGCATGAATTTTTTCAGCAAGTGGACAACTCAGTTCTTACCCTTTACCTCCTAGACCTTGGTGCTCATTTCATTTGTGGACTCAGATTTTTTTCTGACCAGTCATGAAAAAAATTTAAAAAAATTTAAAAAAAATACCAACAAAAAAGCAACAGTGACTCAGAAGTTACTGGATGATCCTAAAGTCCTAGAGAATAATAACAAATATTGCCAATTATCCTCATGTTTGTCATCAGCTTTACAATACTGAAGCATACCTATCTCAAATAATTATAAGAGGTATTGTATTCCAAAATATCTGTTCCGCAAATGTAGAAAACTCCAAAATGGGAAGAAATTCTCGTTTTTTAATGTAAAGTAAAAGCAGAATTACTCAGCATAGATGACTTTATGAAAAAACTGTTCTTTTGGTGTGATGGTAACTCAAAAGCTGATTTTCATCTGTCCTTGCAGGTGAAACTGTATAACATGTACAGTTCAGCACATGGCCAACCCATTTTGTCAGCAGATGTTGGTGGGGACTACAACTTTCCCCTCATCAGTAAATTGCTATTACCAACTGAGAAGAAGATGAGTAAGGTTTGACAATACCAAATCTGGGATTGCCACCATAGTCCACATTGAATCTATGTTTCCCTTGGCACAGGAGCACTGCACAGCTTTCACATATGAATGCACTCCTTGGCCGATCCAGTTCCTGCTCCAAGGTACAACCCAGAGGAAGTAAGTCATACTCTTTCTTTTCCCTTGTTCCCCATTCTTTCACGAAGAGAGTCCATGGCTCCTTAGAGGGACAAGAACAGGATGTTCAAGGATGCAAGTATCCCTAAAGCACAGCAGACAAGGTTTGTTTTGTGTGTGTGTGTGAGAGAGAGTTTTGGTTTGTTTTGTCTATGTTAAAGCGCATTAATCTTGAAATTGAAATAAGTAACCTTCTACAAATACTGTGAGGACTATCAGCAAAGAAAGTAGACTAATTCCAAGGTTGAAGTTTCTAACATAAGCTTCAGCTTTGCATGCATGCTTTGACATCTCTTATCTCAAGGCAAGTCTGTCTTGATATTGTCATCCTTTACAGGCAGGAAAAATGAGGACCAGAATGAAGAAACAGCCAGCCAAGGGAATAAGATAACCAAATAGCAACCAAGGCACTGAAGTCCTAATCTGGTTCGAAGGCTAGAAGACAGCTGTGCTTGCCATGGCAAATAAGTTGTTCCACCAGCAAAGCAGGAGTAGTTACCTGATACTTATACAGATAATCTGATATACTGTATACATCTAATATATATAAAATAATAGCTTGAGTGAAAAACATGCCTTTAACCAGGGTGTTCCTACCTACTTGAAATTCAAGAAATATGTAACTAGATCTTCCCTGTGGGTTTCCTGTGAATAACAGAAGATGCTGAGAGCTGGTCCTACCAGTCACTGAATCCCACAAAGATGTACTTAGCATGCAACCTGCACTTGAAGGGAAGTACTGCCAGCCCTGTAGAATCAGAGACTGCAGCAGGTTCGGATGCAATCAGGATCAGAACAGGATTGTTTATTTTTGCTCAGTTGTCCTGAATGTACCATTTGGAATTGCAATGATAAAGTCATAACTTCAAAAATAGCACCATAAAACCAAAATGGGTAACAGAAATACCTGATAACAGAACAGAAACTGAAAATCAGTGTATAAAGAGTATATAATATCCATATTCTTCACGATTCACATCAGAAAGAGTTCATTTTTATGTTTGGAGATAAAAATTAATGGGAGAGCACTAAAATACTCAACACTGGAGAAAATGTAATACCTCTCAAAACTATTGAGGACATTCCAGAAAACTAGCAGTACCTTTCTTTATCACCTTAATAGCCATGTTTCAAATTAAAAGTCAAAGCATTGAAGTTAAGCATTACTAAGACGTGTTAATACAGCACCATTGTAAATGAAAGAGGAAAGATTCCCTATAAACTTAAAAGCTAGATCCTCAGACTTTTCTCAAAGCCCGGGAAAATATTCCAGGAAGGTTAATGCTTTTTTTTTTTTTTTTTTTGTCTGAATGAAGATTTCAGGATTAACCCCACAGCATGGATGAGAGGAGAATCTCCAGGGAAACAGGGAAATTCTCATTGTAAAGGGAGTGCTGGTAAGGAAGGAATGTATTTTTGAAAGGATTAGCAGTAACTGTTATCCCACATTATTTTAGAGAGAAATGAAAACATCTCAGGACAAATAAAATTGCTAATGCATAACCAGGTAGGAACTAGCACACATTTGTGTTTGATCTCATTTTTACTCACTGATGCAACATTAATTTTATCCCATTACTAAACATTTTTCCATTGAACTGCAAATTCTTTCTGAAAAACTATAGTTTGTATACTGGGCCTTAATAACTGCGTGGTCACAAGGTATCTAGAAGGTCTTTTGAGAACAAGGGGGAAAAGGCTTCTCAAACAACAAAAAAAATGGACCCTAAAGGCTGAAATATTTCAGATCAAATCTTTATTCAGCATTGTCATGTAATCATCATAAAGAAAAATATCGTACCAAGTAACTACAGACTGGATTACATGAGCTGCACAAAGTCATCCTTTGCCCTATTCTATTCTGGTAAACACCCACTTGGATGGTGGCAGCCAGGATTATGTGTAACCTTCATGAAGGGTGTGAAAAATTGCAGCTGAAAGCTGCATACATGGAATTAAATTACAAGTACAGCCCAACTTCACACACACTAGTATAAATCAGAGGTACTAAGCTAAAGGCAGTGGAATTATGCTGCTGTAAAGACCATAAAAATGATGTGCAAGATCCTTAATCTAATCAATTTTAATGTAACACATGGTAATGTCAAGATTTATTTTGAGCACATTAGTTTTTTTGTTCTGTTGTCTTCAGGATTTTGTAATGAAAACAGTATCACCACTTCACTATTTTGGCACCTGAGAAGTGTAAGAGGATGGAAAATAATATTAGCCACAAGGAAAAGAACTTGATTTGATGCCCCTAAATCGTGATTTATACTCAGAGGTGAAAGGTTTGGAGATCTATATAATTGCTTAATAAAATAGTTTCTCTGACTTCTGCAGCTAACAGTTCTACATCATTTTCTTTTTTTAACTGGCTAATTTTGTACATGGTAAGTGTATTAATTATGAACAGAACTAAAGGGCTAATCTAAATCTTTGATCTTTTCTGTGCCCCAGTTTCCCATTTGTAACACAGAGATCACATTTTTCTCACCCCAGAAGTCTGCTGGGTGATTAGTTCATTAACATTTGTAGGGTGCTTTGCATATCCTCAAGTTATTAAATTAGATCATAGCTGATACTCCAATCCTTATTTTAGAAATTAATTCCCACATATTGGACTTCTGATAGGAAAAAAAAATCACTTGGAAAACCGGGTTTTATTTCTAGATAAGCATATTCATCCAGCACAACTGTCTGTACTGAAATCCAGCAATATTTCTCCCAGAAGTCTCAGCAGGAACAGGATCAGCTCCCACTTTCTCTCCTTGTCTCTGGGTTGCCTGACTCTTACCAACACAACAGACACCTTCCAATAGGTACCTTTATTGCTGCACTTGCATCCTATCTTGAGGGAAACTGCTTACCCAACACTTTCCAAAAAGCCAGGCTGCCTGTTTGTACATCTCTTGACATCTTTTTTCCATACAGGAGCATTTAGACATTTCTCAGGCGGGCAGTAGACCAGCTTTAAGTCAATTTACATATCGAGAAGGACCATCTATTGCCCTCTACCCAAGGGAAAATGAGAATGCACAGGCTACCAATCTGCATAAGTGTTACAGAGTACTACACTTGGAAGTGCCTACATTTAACACTTATAGAAGAAACAGTGGTATTTTCCTGTCTAATCCACTTTTGAAGAAAAATGTTGGATCCAGGTGAACAGAGCAGGAAAAAGATAAGCCAGGAACTAATAAAGAAATGCTTATTCATCTCAGCATGAAGACAAGGCCAAGATGAACTGAGACTTCTGAAGTAATAGGCAATGAAATCCTAGGCTCAAATAATGAACAAATTAACTGGTAATATTTGCTTGTATGTAAGTACCCTGTGTACTAGGAAAAAGGTATTTGAAAATGTGAGGCAATGACCACTAATTCATCAAGGCCATCTGGGCAGGGTTTCATCATTTTCAAACTATCAATGGCTTAAACCCAGGACAACATTACTTACCATGATGAAATTATTCATATGCCCAAAGTTGATAAGGACGAACAAAGAAGACTTTTCTATGAAAACAACTGTTATGCTCTTTCTTGAATTGTGCAATATTTCACTATTTTTCATATAATGTATGGCAACTGTGGCTTTACATTTGTATTCTAGCACGTCTCCTGATATCCTACTGTTTCTATATGCAATACCAAAAGAAGCAATCATTGACTTCAGGATAGTATTTTATATGCCAGATTATGACTGTCATTCTTTATTGCCACAGACAATTGAAGAGGCACCTCAACTCAGCGAAATTGAAGATTTTGTCTTAAGGCATAATAGTATCTCTGAGACTTCACTGTTTGACTCCAATGAGATATTTAGGCACATACTTGAATTAAAACATTCAAACTGTCCTCTGAGGTCAGTCAGAATATTGTTTAAAAATAAATTTGTGGTTAACTCAGTATACAAACTTATTTTTCTAATACAGTATAGCTGCTATGGCAACAATCAGTAGCGCAGCGCTCCTGGTGAAAGGCAGTGTGCTTTGATTGTTAAATGAAGATTCAAAGCTTCAGAATTAAATTGTTTTACTAAGAGCTAATGCTCCTTCTGTTTGCTCAGCAGACTGCGACGAGTCTTTATTAGCTCTGATGAGCAGCACAAAAGCAGTGAGTCCACAGCATGCTCTAACAAACAGCTTAGCACTGCAGAATAAACAAGAGATTGCCTTCCTGTACACTAGCCCAAAGATGACACAATGGGGCAGATACATATGATACAAATCTACCATCTTTACCTTGGTAAGGAAATCTCATCCCCTTTGAAACTTAACACCTAATAGACTGTACTGTGCAAATGTTAATGACAATCAGGTTATCTAATTCATCCTTATAAGCCTATAGTTTACTGCGTGCGCACAACATGAATTCAGTTTCTATCAGAGCCCTGTGGAACAAAAATAGCATCATCTTGTCCAATGAAACCAGAGAAGTAACCTCAGATAGCCAGAAGAAAAAAAAAAATAGATATGTGGGAAAGAATAAACGAAAAATACTGTTGAATAGGAGAGAAGAAATTACTGTCTGGCTTGAATGTCACCGGCAAGCTCATATCATACAAAGATTATTTCGCTGTGTTCAGAAATCTCAGCCTTTCTAAATTGCTTCCTTCAGAAATGCTCTGAAGTGTGGTCCTGGACTACATTTTTCTGGAATTTGGAAGGAAAACTCTTCCTCAGTAGAGTGTCTCCATTACTCAGCTGGAGTGTGTTTGGGCTTTTGCACTTTCCAACTACCTCATCCCTTTCAGTGACCATGCCTGGTAGAAGAGTGTCAGATGTCTTTCCTTGACACCCAACAGCAAGAAATATACCAAGAGTATAGCTGGAAAAAATAGTATGCACTGTATATAGTCTTTTCCTAGGTGGATCAGTATTTTCTTCAGTGATTTCCATGTAGAAGAAAATATCCTTTTTAATAATATAAAATAAATAAGTAAAAAGACTGAACCATTTTAATAACTCTACTTCACAGTGGTTCCAAAACACCAGTTTAACTCTTCTGAACTAAGCTATCTTTGAAAGCTTTCAAATGGGCACACATGAGTGGAAAACTGTTTTAGCTCTGTTAACTAAACATATTCTTTTAAATCAATTGTAACTTGTAGTCTTCCTCTGTTTTCAGCAGATAAAATGTCTATTGCTTTTTCCCTACATTCTTCTTTCATACTGCTGTGCTTCTTTTACTTAGAGTATATAAGCTTGCCTTTCTCCAGCCAATCTGTAAGCCTGATAGTCCAGAGTCCAATTCTATACTAGTCAAGTCTTATATGACTGTGAGTATCATATATCTTCCCCTGAAATGACACTAGTTTAATTCTCATCTCATCCAGGGGAGGCTGGGGTAAAAAAAAAAAAAAAAAAAAAAAGAAAAAAAAAAGAAAAAAAAAAGAAAGCCATTACATAATAAAATTATGATTTTTCACTTAGAGGTGTCCGAATATTTGGACAGGCACAGGTTCACATCAATTACAGGCGATTTTCCGAAACTATGGTGTTTCAAATTATATCACATCTGGATCTGTTCTAAAACCAAACTAAAACTTCAGGGACATGGTCCCCCATGGAAGCAACTTTCCTACTAGAGTTTCAGTATTTCTATTTCAAAATTGCAGAGGCAAATTAAAGGGTACAGGAATAATGTGATAAAAATCTAAGAAGAAAAGTTTTGGACACTAGAATATGGTTCAAGAAATTGTTGAGTTTTAGGTAACTATTTTCAATTTCTAATTATTTATGATTTTAAAACGTTGTCTTTCACTGTCTTTAGCAGAGGACACTGATTCCAGTGGTCTGATGAAGATCAGTGGGATACGAGATGGAAACATGTATCTCCTCTTTATCCAGATAAAAATCAGAGAATTCTTTGCTTGGAAAACACCTTTGGTAGCAGCACAGGAAAGACTCAGAACATAATTTTTCATAGATCACGGATTAAAGTTAAGGGGGCTCTCCAGCCGTACACTTAGCACAGTTTAAATGGGCATATACAACCACAACGAAAACTTAGTGTTCCCTTTTGTTTTAACATTAACCATTAACATCAATCAACTTCTACAGAAGTAGCAGAACTGTTTCATCCCTTCTTTTTTTTTTTTTTTTTTTTTTTTTTTTGTAGAAACACTATATTTATACACATGTAAATTTGATCAAACAAAGGAAATTGAATAAGAACAACATGTAACTTAATACAAGACTGAAAGAAAATGGTGTCTTCCCTCTCCCAATAAGTTTTACTTAACTATCAACACATTTTGTTCAAGAAGTTTTCTCTTTGCAGTTCAACACTACCAAAATATCCCATAATCTTAGGTCTCCCCTCTCACTTGCTGCCAAAGAGGCTTATAAATATCAGAATATATGCTTGCTCAAGCAAAAATCTGGAACACACA